GGCATACTTATTTTCAGGCCTAATTGGGTTGTGTGTGCTAAATTCCATACTATTCGGGCTGATATTACACGTTTGGTGCACAATAAAAGGCAAATCGGACGAAGATATATATGGGAGCTATATCTAAATTTTTACCGATTATCTCCAATTTCAATAAGGTTCGTCCTTGCGCCAAACAAATGTTGTTTGCAAAATTTCATCTCAATCGGATAATAACAGACGGACTGACATGCATAAATCAACTCAGAAAGTGATTCTATGCAGATCATCAAAAGGAACTATGGGTCTATCTCGTTTCCTTTTGCATGTTACAAACAAATGCACAAAGACATAATACCCTGACCACCTTGTGGTGTAGGGTATAACAATTCGTATACCCGGTGGATCTGAGACATATATATCGAGGTATTATCAACTATTGGGCCCGAATCAAACTTATAAACCAATAACAATATAGTGGGGGGGTACAAATCTTACTAAATATCTATTACACGATTTCCATGGTTTGACTGTGTACAAGTTTAAATTAAATTAAGAACTTGAACTAAAAAAAATTACCTCAAAATCCAACTTAACCGTGCACGATAAATTTTTCTCAGCAGAAAAGAAACAAACCACTTGAGAAAATCGATTTAATACCAATTTACCTTTTAATGTTCCAACCATAGCAATTTTCTAGTCTGCAATCATCGTGAAAGCGTCTCGCATGTATGTGTGTGTGTGTATACAGGCGTTTGTTTAATAACCCCGTGACAAAATGTCACCTAACATTTCAACAATCACAGAAGCTAACACAAAGTGCACACATTCAAACATGGGCGACTGTGATGGCGACGGTGACGAGGACAAATGTGGTAAACCTTGGATTTTGTTAAAGAGGACATGCTGTTCGTGTAGAATCAAGTGAAAAAAATACGGAAAGGCTAGCAAAGTTCTAGAGAATTATTGTTTACTTGGGTGCGGTAAGCGAGCAGGAAAAAAAAACAATTCAGTTTCAATATGAGACTGGTGCATTGCTGTTTAAAATTGTATGCCTTTTCTATGCTTTGCTACAACGAAAGAAAAAAAAAAAAACATCAGAAAAGAACACAACTGCCACAAGACGGGCTAGAAGGAAGCTTTCTCCCTGTTCGGGTCTTGTTGACTGGTCAATGTCAACATTTTACACATGGGTACAATATTGACACATGACACAATAACAATTGTAAGGTTATTTACCGCATGTATGTGTGCATGTACGATGAAAGTACATATTTGTCTATGCACTTGAAACAGGTGGACAAGGACTTTCGATACGGTATTCACGCAGGCAGTCAGTGTGTATGTCGGTGTTATTTGTGAATTTCTTTGTCATTTGTTTAAATATAAATCTAGAATTATCAAGCTCTAACCTGAATGGATTTTTCTACAATTAAAGTTAAGTAGAAAATTGTTTCAAGTACTTAATTCATAGTGTCATCATTTGCAGCCAACAGTTCACACCATACTTGTGGGAAATCTAGCAGATACGCCTGTATTGTTTTTGTTTTGTGTCTCCGTAGGTGGGCATATTTTACAAGAGCCTCTTTCGCCCTGTTATGCATAATAACTCTTATAAATGTACAAGAAGGATATATTCAAATCTGCTTGATGTCAACATCCGTCCATAGATTTTTTGAATACATGTTTAGTTATGCAGCTCTCAGGAATATTGCAGGGCAACTTTTGTCCATCCAACTGTTGATTATTGTCTGGCAGTTTGTTCTTGTTGTTTGTTGGTTGGTTTGTTGGTAACATCTATACACACATTGTATGCCTCATAAGTGTAAGTTTTATATCCTGTTTATGAAATTTATCGTATTTTTGAAACTTCCTGAAAATGAGCTAAACAGCTTTTTCCATTTCATATTTCGTAGTTGTGTGTGAACATGTACATTTTGAAATGCATGTGAAAATAATAAACCCACATTACAAAAGTTGCAAACATTTTGAAATGCCTGTTTGGTTATGACAACAAAACCGAAATGACTAAATTAGAAATGGTCTACCTTTTCATAGATGGTACCGGAATGAAAAAGGGAGTTATGGGTAGAGGTAACGGGACCGGTATATTTCAGGTCATCTATGAGAAGATTTTCTGGTCATCTATGAGAAAACCTTCTGGTCCATCTATGAGAAGAAGAACTTCTGGTCCTTCTATCAGAAGAACCCTTCGGGTCCATCTATGAGAAGGAAACCCTCTGTTCATCTATCAGAAAAATAGCTTTTGGTCATTTATGGGAAGAAGATTTTCTGATGCTCTGATCATCTATGAGAAGAAGACCTTCTGGTCATCTTTGAGAAGAATCCCTATGAAAAGACCTTCTGGTCATCTATGAGAAGATCTTCTGGTCATTTATGAGAAGACCTGTTGGTCATCTATGAGACCACTCTATGCTCATCTATGGGAAGACCTTTTAGTCATCTATAAGAATATCTTCAAATTTTCTGTGATAAAATCCTCAATGACAAAGCCTTCTAATCTTCTTTGAGAAAACCATCTAACATTCTTTGAGAAGACTTTATTTTCTTCATCGTGAAGACCCTCTGGCCTTCTTTTAGAGTACCCTCGGGTCTTTCATATGAACACATCAGAGTCTTTATAATAAGACATTTTGGTAGTCTATGAGAAGAGCTCCCGGAAGGCTTTCTGGTCTTCTTTAAATGGACCCTCTGGTCTTCTTTAAGAAGGACCTTGATGTGATTTCACTCTGGCATTCCATAAGAACATATTGGAGACTTCTGTGAAAAGAACTTACGATGCACCAGAAAGATCTTCTGGTCGTTTTTAAAAAGTCTTTTACCTTCTCGTCATCTACGAGACCAGAAAGTCTTGTATAAAAGTCCTTATTTTCATTTTTCCTTTTGAAGTATTGTTTGCAAATCTCTATTAATCCAGAGAAGAATAATTCACAAAACATAAAATTCAGTGATATTCAATTAGACCCCTCTATTTTCGTGTCATTTTAATTTGACCTCTGGCCATATTTATTATCTTCTCAAAATAACAAATACAAAAAAAAAACATTCGGAATTTTTCAATTCATTTTCCTTTCTCAGAAAGAAATTGGATTTTGGGACCTGTATTTTTTTACAATTTTATTTGTTATGCTTTTGCGGGTCCACAGGAGTATGTGAATGAATAAATACATTTCAAGTACAATTTTCAGAATAAAATATACATTCACACCTATACACCTGCAAACGTATACTTGCTACATTTCTAGCTATGGGTGTCACAGGATGCAAATAAGCAAACGAATATTTATGCATGTATGTATGTGTGTGAATGTGTATGTGTGTCTTTTGGTCTACTCCCTTTGTACCTTTACGTCAATGGCCTTATACACAATATATATATATGTATGTATATATATTTTGCTGTATATTTTATATTCAAATGCATCTGGCAAAACTCTCACCTCTGCCGCATTCAGTTCCCAGCATTGGTGGTACCGAGAAAAAAATCATCTTCCTACAAAGTTGTTTCATTCACAGGCAAAGATCTGTCAACAATGACGAAATGAAACCAAAGCCCGCTAAAAAGATATGGGGGAAATTTCTGTATTGCTCGTGTGTGTCTGTATGTGTAGTGGAGATGAATGTGGCGAAATGGATTTGAAATTCAAACAAGAAAGAAAGTCAGAATACCACCACGTTGTTGACTGTGAAAACGTGAAAAAGCACGAAACGGAAAATGACAGTGACGATGGCGTCAAAAATTATACTAAAGTCAGAATGAAATTGTGTTTGTTTCAAAACGAAACGAACAGAAAATTAAAAAGAACAACATGATTTCAAATGGTGCACAATGGGAGAATTATTGGACCTTATGGAGGACTCTAGAAAAATTACTAATAGTGCATCTTTTTAGATAGATAAAAAAACTGTATGCAAATGAATTTAGTAATGACTGAAAACAGCATGTAAATTTTTTCTGGGGTTCAGGCCCAAGTTTATTTTCTGAGTAGGGAAGGATCATCTCGAAGATCGCATTTTCGACCTATTCACACAATATCATAATTTTCGGTCTACATTTTTCTATAAATCTTAATAACTGTAGCTCAATATGAATTATGAAAGAGATCTGAGAGTTTTAAAGCCTTAATTTCTTGCTCAGAACTCTGCTTCCACAGCAATCTTTCCCCACTGTGTTAATGGTTGATTAAAAAGTACCAAAGTGAGAGATGCAATGTATAAATGTTTGTCTTGCGTTCACTTTTGCATATCCCTATGAATATTCTTTTCACTATTCCTCTTTACAACCTAGGGAAATTTTCTCTAGCAAAGAGTGCTAAGGTGTTTTATAAGCAAGAGTGATTTGCATAGCTACAAACATTCGCGTGCACACACACACACACACAAACTCTATACAATTTTCAAGATACTTTTATGTTTGCACCGAATTGTGTCTATATCATTCTGGCGACATATGGTGCATGCTGCACCATATCCTGCCATGTCACTCATGCTCACTCACACAGACACACTCATACGCTTGAAACATTCGCAATGATACCATGTGTCATTTAATCTTAGCATATCATTTCGTTTCAGGTAGCTAACAGATACAGGTGTAGATTGTCAATATTTATTCTAAAAATGCCAGTCAATGTTCATCTGCATCTTATGCATTTGCATGCATGCAAGTGTTAATGTCTCGGGGTTGGTGTGTTGAGGGGTTAGAGAGACAGAAAAGAGGAATTAACAAAACGTTAAACCACATTGTCAGGCTGCGGATGTTAGGCAAAGAAAATTATGACAAAATGAAAAATAATGAGCAAATGGCAATGTGACTTCTCTTGGCTGTGAAATGGGGCAAGAGTTTTTGAGAAATGGGTTCGTTATTTCACGAAAACAGATTTAAATTTTTAAATATCTTCAAATATTTGAGACTCAATCAAACATGCATTTATTGAGCTAATAATATTAAATTAAAAAAGTTCATAATTTGTAATATTTTTCTTATTATTTTATTTCAGCTTCAAAATTGATGTTGTTTATTTGTTAAGGTGAGTTTGTGGATATAAAGTAATAGAATATTTTAAATTTTATACCACCTCAAAATATAATATGGATCTAAAGACCTCTACATAAAAACTTCGATCTGTAACTGTTGAAACTTTGTCAAAAATCCTTATGCTTATAAGTAAAGACATGTGGACTGATTTTCACAATTCTCATCAAATCGGAATGGTCTCTTGCCAAAAAAGGATAAAATCTAAGAAAATCGCGTAGTATATGTTAATAAAAAAGTGAAAAAGTTTGCGTGCCCAAGGCTTTAATATACCCTCCAGAATATTTTGGCGATAATATTCGGCATTTATTCTGATGCCACGGTCGATTAATACGATCGGAGAGCGATTTCTGGTAGCCAACCGATGGTGCCAATTTTCAGCTGACTTCTTTGGCAAGTAAACACGATCATGTTTACAAACCGCTGGACAACGGATGTTTTCTCATCGGAATAAACCAAATTCGGCAGATAACTACTTTCGGTCAAGTGGAGCAAGTCTTTAGCTCTTTGTATTCTATTTTCTTTCCGTTGGGGTGTAAGTTCTTGCACTTTTTGGAATTTCAAAGGCTTTACCCCGACCTCATTTTTTCAATATTTGCGAATGGAATATTGTGACATGTTCAGCTCACGAGCCATTTTTCGGCCACTGTGAAGCGGCTTTTGATCAAGTCGCTTCTTTAATTTTTCTAACCATTTTTGCGGATGTTGCTGTTTTCTTCCGCCCACTTCCTTGACGTCGGGCTACGCTACCAGTATCACGGTAACGATCGATGGTATGAGACACAAAGATTTATTCACATTTTAATGCTGAAGTTCTCTAACAATAACCACTTGTGGTTTTCCAGCCAAATATAATAGCGCTTGAATTCCATCCGGAATAACTTTTTTCTGGAAAATTCTCACCAAAATGCTTTTGTACGCTTGTAAAGAATATAAGTGTCTTTGTGTCTTTGAAATGACAGTTACAGTTTCTTCATCTCACACTGTACATAAGTTCACGACTTTAATTTCAATTTCATTTTATATGAGTGCATCAGAATTTATGAAAGATAAACCAGAAACTTATGGGTCTAATATACAAAGGTAATGCATTTAAACAAACAATTATGTGGAATTTCATATTTGAGTTATAATTCTATGATTTTGTTAAATGTATGCATCATCTATTCCAAAAACGAAGGCGATAAATTGGGTTTTCCGGAGCGATTTAGATTTTTTCGATTTTCGTTCAGCACAATTCCTAGTGGACGATGAAAACTATTCAATACTACACTTATAACATTTGCAAAAAACATGTGCAAATAAATATATGCATATGCACACGTACATTTTTCAGTTTTACACATTCGTGTTGAAAATATTACTGTAATTATTGTTCATAATCTGCAGTCACATATATTACAGCTGGAATTTGTATATGACAACATTAACAATAAATTTCGATTGTAACTTTAATTATGTTGTATGCAGTAAAAAAGGCGAAGTTCTTTGTTATTTCCCTTTCTCTCTCTCTCGTTTTGCTTCCCTGCCTCTGCCATCATCTTGATCACGTATAAAAATGCCTCGAGTCTGCAATTATACATTAAAATAAGACAATACAATCGAAAATAAAAACAAAACTTTCGAGTTCACAACACACAAATATACTCATGTGTGCATGTATGTGGCAATATATTGTTTTGTATTTATTATGTCTCTGTGTACAGAGTTAATTTTATGAATTGACTTGTGTAAAATATGTACGTATGCACACAATGCATAGGGCATGAGATGGGACATTAAGAAATGAAGGAACAAATATGTAAGGATAAAAGGAATCCTGATTATTTTCATAAATTATTGCAAGTCAAAACTGTGTGCAAATGTGTGTAAGAAAGATGCCATCATCCCAAACCGAACGAACACTCTGCCTAAGGATATGAATTTTAACCTGAAAGGTAGTGATATTCCATACGACTGCTTGCTTATACACCAAATATCCACTTAAGACTTTACAACCACATTAATCATGGAAATGTGGTAGAATGGGTTTTCGTTTTTTCTCAAGTGGTGTTTCTGTGTGTGTTCGCGCAATTTTAAGAAATATTTTATTGGAATTTGAGATATATCAGAACGTGACAAAATGCATAATTGCTTTTTCAGTTACTTTATTTACATTTTGTTGTTGTTGTTATTTGTACTCAAAACAAACGAAATTATGTACACCTTAAGGGATTTTGTTTCTTAAATAATACGGTGTCAAATTGTATATTTTAGGATGATATGACAATTTAGGAAAAAATTAGGTTTCATTTTCATATGAGTGAAAACATTCAAGGGAGCCATATTTGAATATTATATATATAGTATATAGGGATGAAAACCTTCCAATTTATCTATATTTTCCTAAATCCTTTACTCCTATGAAAATTAGGTTTTTCTATCATAGAAGTTGAAACATTCAAGGGATTCATATTTGAATTTTAATGCCCAACAACACTATGTGTTGGGGGTATTATAAGTTTGATTGGGCCAAAAATTATGTAACACCACGAAATATTGGTTTCCCCTATAGGAAAGTATATATATATCTTCCTATCTCGCCGAGCTGAGTCGATTTAGCTATGTGTGTCCGTCCATCCGTCTGTCCATGGAGATGGGGCTACGGTCAGAATAGAACCCTATTTCTTTTGGAGATGATCGTATAATATTTAGGGGTTGAAATGGATCAAAAACTGAAACAATTCCTGATTTTGCAGTTGCTTTACAGGTCGCAATTATAGACCAATCAAAGCAGAAGTTAGCATGGAGCTAGAGCTTAGGGCTGGGCAGAAGCCATCCAATTTTGATGGTTATCGGGTAATATTTAGTGGGTGAAATAGGCCATAACGTTTGTATTAAATAAAAGTCAGTTTTTCCATTAAAAAGCGAATATTTTTAATCCCGGCGAAATTACAAATAGACGAACAGGTCAATTCTGATCGATACGTAGATGACGATAGTAACTATATCGGTTCTATATAGCGAAATATATACAACGTGTATATACAAAGGAACGGGATGTTAGTTAGAATGCTTATATGTCAAGAATGGCTGGACCGATTTCGACAAAATTTGTCAACTCAGAATGTCCTCGTAACATAAAAGTATAAAATCTAAAAAAATCACATAAAAGATCGCATATAATGATGTTAATATAGCTTTTGTGACATTTTTTTATTTTTTCATATTTTTTATCGTATGCGATTTTTTCAATTTGACTTATAATATTGAATTGTATATTTTGTAATATTTTTTCACTTTACAACACAGCTTGTGGTTATTATATACAGATTGCCATTATCGTCCGATCCTCACGAGGTAGGGTTGGGCTCAGAAGGGCTAGGCCTATTGTTTTCAAAGATGTCCGCAATATATTAGGGGGTTGAAATGGACCAACAAACAAAGGACATGAAATCTCGCATAAAGTTAGAGTTTAGGACAGCGGGTACAATGGACCACCAACTTTATGTGAAAAAATACCAACATTACTTACAGGCGATATCCGAAATACACAAAAGGCGAACTTCTGGCTTTTTTATGCTGATTTCGTTGACGAATATAGCCAAATATCGTAGACAAACAAAGCATATCGATGACTCTAAATTTTAAGATACAGAGAGGCTTCTTGCTTTTAGAGATGATTGCAAAATATTTAGGGGTTCAAATTAACCAAAAACATAAATTTTTTTCCGATCACACAATTGAAGCCAATCTTCACGCCTGTGAAGAGAGTAAGGGAAAGGGAAGAATTCTAGTATTTTGGATGACTATTGGATTATATTTAGCTGTCAAATATAGTACAACAACTAACAGCTCGACGGAGTGCATAAATGTTGGGCAAATGTCCCTAGTCAAAATCCTAATTTCGAAAGCGAAATCTTCCAATATGGATTTAGACATAAGGGGGCTCCTAGCATATTGTAGTGTTGTAGGGTATATCATAGTCGGCCCCGCACGACTATAGCCTTTGCTTACTTGTTATATATAGAAGAGGTGAAAACCTTCCAATTTAGGGATTTTTTCCTAAATCCTTTACAGAAATATTTTTTGAGGTTGCTTTAATTCACGGGTCGAGGTGCAAATTTAAGTAAATCATTGACAGCTTTTTTGATGGAATTACAAAAGAACATCTTATCACTACTCCACTGTAGCATACAAACAATAGTTTTCCCTACCAAGACTAACAAAATAAATAAAACAATTTTTTTTGCTTCTAATTGTATCATGATGGCCACTTTATTGCTGACATTGTCATTTTTAGCAAATAATAATAAAAATGATTACACAAGAAAACAAAACAGAATAAAAATCAAAAGATCAAATGATAAATTTAATTAACAAACAATAAATGCCACAGACAATTGAACTTATTTGGCAAATGTTAAACTAACAACTGAATGACAGATATAGACACACACAATGATGATGCGATAGAATTAGAAGAAAAGCCTACACACATAACACACATTCGTAATATGTATGAATGACTCTGTGTAAATATGTCAATATGCACTTATAGTGTGTCGGATACTTCAATTAGTTTTTATTTAGAAGACAATATAAAAAATGCCGACACACAAAATTTTTTTATATCAAAAGCAGATAAAGTCTTTATGTATATTCACATATAGACTACATAATACGAATCTAATCCATACATATATATTATCCAATTACTTAAAGTATTGAAAATTGAAATTAGCAAAAAATGTTTTATTTGGTTAAGTAAACCATGTGATAATATATGATGCCACACTTTTACCTAAATACCTATCAATCGGCGATACTTAAACATGTAAAACTTGTCCAGCTGTATGAGTCGAATAAGCAATCAAAAGTATTAAAATGTGGGGTTATACGAAGAAAAAATCCTCACGTCGTTGAAAACCCCTTTATGTTCATAAAATTGCGAGCTCATATAGTTAAGCTACTTCCTACGCGTGACAGCTCTTGTAAAAAAATAGCCTAGTAAAT